AGAGCAAAATAGAAAATTTAGGACATTTCGAGGAAAGATGCCATTTTCTCTAAAAACGACATCTTTCCAGTATTTCGTATTTTTCGACCAGAGAGAAGCATTTGCTAAGGCTAAAAAGTAGTTTTTCTGTAAAACAAAAAGCCGTAAAAATTTTTTACTGAAAGTTTGAATTACCTGCACCTTACAAAGAAGAATTTATTACATCATTAGGTAATAAATGAACAAATTTGACATAATTTAAAATAAGTGAAAGATTGCGTTTCACGATTTTTGTTATTCTTTCACTCGCTTGGGCATAACATTGTTCTGTCAATTCATCTACTTTCGCCGCTTACCATTTAAAGGACATGTAGATGAACAAACACCTTTATCTTATTGTACTACTACTTTATTACATAAAATACATAATGTTTCATATATAAAAGTTTCATCTGGTTTTAATGATTTAATAATATCACGACGTGTTATATTATGATCATTTGGTAATAAAAACAATATTAATGCAATTAAACGAATTACATGCATGAAAGCCAAACTACATTTGACCACAAAATTACGAATAGCGTCATATGCATCACATACTTTGATTGAACTACCATTGTATACATATTTTTCATCATCATTTGCTGTTAAGTTAAAATAGTTAAAATAGATAAATAGATAAATGTTAAAATAGATAAATTATGAGAAACGTTCGATAAAATATATTAATTTTTGACGGTTAACAAAATCTGGTAAATTCAATAACGGACCTATCGCGGTACTATTTTTGGCATAATCAAATTTCTATGAAATAAATTGGGCAGTCAATCAACTTACTATTTCAAGTAGCTCATTATAAGAGGAATAAATGTAATCGTAGGCAGCAGATCCATAATCCCTGTTAAATTGAACACGCTTCTTATATAGATGTAGGTAGATTAAAAATCGACTGTTATCAAATGTCTGGTTATTAGCTCCAAGATTTTCAACTAACTGTTTCTTCCGTGATTATTACGCTACAAACACTATAAATTACCAGCGGTAACTTTACTGTCCTTGTTATTTACATACAGAGGATGACTGTATAATGTTACAAAAATGATGAACCACATTGTTGAAAGTGAACGCTGCAACTTCCTAAACTACGCTTACGAGGAAACATTCCGAGGTGAAGCGCTCCTTTTTCATTCGTTCTTGCGTGGTTCGATAGGGCATCGGGTGGAGGTAAAAAGCCTAAGAGGGTTCGGGTGGAGACTTTTCCCTTGAGGAGTTACGGGCATTTTTCATATATAAAGTATTATTGCTATTATAAACTGATTTTTAGGGTTGGAAGACAATGATTTCCGAATAAAGATAAAAAAATTACTTTTGTCAAAGGAGGCAGCTTTTTCATTCAAATCACATTTTTATGCAAAACAAACCTTATATTCGTGACCAGCGTGGTTGATAACCGATATCTAGATGAAATTAGACTGAAAAACAAAAAACAATTTTTTTTCCCTGGGGGTACGACAGCAAAAAAAAATAAAAGTTATTTTTTTCAGAAAAAAATATACCGTTTTGTTCAGAATTTAATGCTGATTCTAACCATATAGTTCTTTTCCCTAAATGTTTTGGGCGAAAAAATGACCTTACTACCACTTGTCCTTTTTGATGTGTCATTCGAAGTTTAGCAAAAGTTTTGCTTTCGTCTAAAAATAACGACTAGAGGCGTTTTACTCACTAAACACCTAAGATGGGACAAAAGGCATTGTTTTTAGATGAAAGGAAAAGTTTTGCGAAGGTTTTTAATAACACATCACTAAACGTAGCTTTTTGTCGCTGAGCATGAATATGATATTAGTTTTTGTTGTAAAAGTTTTTTTGAACGCCTGTTCAAACTGCTACCATTCAAAAAAGAATATCACAATCATCAAATTGAGATCATCGTTGATACTGTATGTTCACATACGACACCCGATCACAGTGTTCACGATTTTGGGAAGGGCGGTGGAATCAAGTGTCCGATGCAAACACTTGAATAATAATACCAATAAAAAGCAAATATTAAGTTGTTATCATACATCAGGACCTTTGATACGAAAAAGCAAAGGTCTTTTAGCTATTGCACAAGAATTGGGACTCAATGTACCGCAAAAATGTAAACTAGACGAATTAGAATCAATTTTGTCAAAACACGAAGCGTTCAAATTTGTGAGTTAATTAAAATACGGAACTCTCTAGTTATGTTGTCACATTTCGCTGTGTCTTTATAGGTTTCAAAATTAGGTTCCACTCACAATGCGAAAATATTATTGGAAATATTATTTGGAAAGTTTCACTGTGAATTGAATGCTATAGAAGGTTTATGGTGCCAATGAAGCAATATATGGGGAAGCACAGCGATCGAACCTTCAATAAAATGATTATTTTAATTGCTGATTCAAAATTGAATTTTGAAGAATAAAATTTACAAAAGGTTGTACAGACGTTTCTGGGGAACATTGCATGCGTATGGTCAAAACAAAGATTACAAAAAGTTCTTACAATGTTTTTTAGTAGTCTATATAAAGATACAGTATCATCACATCGTAAAATAACGAACAGTAATATCGATGATTAAAGTCGAAGAACATCTATAATGCATAAAAGCTCATAATTTGAGAATAAATTCCAAATGCTAGATTTTTCGCCGCAAGGTTTTCCAGAAATCTCTGGAAAACTTCCAGAGATCCTAAAGATGTGATCATTAAATTCAGCATCGACTTTTACCTATTTCACGTTAATTTCATTGATTTTGGTTGAAAACGGAGAATTTTATCAAAAAATGACTTGCCCGTTTTGCCTATATTTGCAGGAAAAGTGAAATTTCTCGACGGTAGAGAGGAATGTGAAAAGGCTCTCCTATTATTTTTGCTTGCATAACGGTGAATCGAATGCACTAATTGTCTTAGATGTGATGAGCAAATCCAGACAAATTTATTTTTCAATTACGTCTTGAAACAGCTCAATGTCAAAATTCTCTTTCTACTATGTACGTCGTCATTGCAGGGTTCCACTGCTAAAGTCTTAAACCTCTCTATATCTCTGCGTAAAGAAAAACTTGGGGAATCTGATGATAAAAGACTTGTCCGACAAATGTGAAACTCGTCATGGTCTCGCAAATTCTCGCGTATCCATAGAACGTTTTTTTGCACAAGACAATATGCGTTTATTTTCGGCTTGTCCACGCGAAGGCTTCGTTAATTAAGTTTTGAAAAACTTATTTTAGAGTAGAACTGAAAAGAGCACATCATTTGATGCAGCTTTTGGTGCTGATGAGGAATCCCACATTATTTTTTTAAAAGTTAAATTTTGACGCCGAAAGTTCAGTTTTACGTTTTTTGAAAACTGTATTTTCAAATTTTTCACCTAGACACTTTTCCTAAAAAAGTGCAAGGCCACACTATTCGATAGAGAATTCGATTCTCTACAAGATGGTAGGTTTATTTTGACGTTTAGACTAAAAGCAATCTTTTTAATAAAGTTTTAAGTTTTGAAATTCTCAAACAATTCTAAAGAGTGAAAACATTTTTTCGACTTTATTTTCACGTTAGTCTATAGCAGATGCCTCAACTATGTCGGATGTGAAAATCAAATCCTTTGAACAAAATTTAGTGCTCCGAAAATTGTGGGGAAAAAAATGTGTCACAGCGTCACGTTGATAAAGAGCAGTTACTGGAGGAAGGAAAGCTCCTAGGAGAAATTTTTTTTAGTAATGGATAGCTCGTTGCCTCCTCTACGAACTTCGCTCCAGACACTTTTCATTTGCTCTCCTAAATTCGCACGAAATTAGCTTTTAATTAGGAGCATTCGAAATTTAGGGTCTTTTTATGTCACAACGTCACGCTCCGAAAAGTAATTCTGTAAACTCGAGGCTTTACTAAAAATCTCTCATTTTTACATCATAATTAGAGTAACACGAGCTGCGGCGAATGACGCAAGAACGAAGTTTCTAGCTCTTACAGTTTTTGAGAAAAGCTCAAACTACTGTGTCAAAAATGTCACAGCGTTACGTTTCATATATCTAATTAAGCATCTAGCATTCGAATACCGAAAGATAAAACAAGATTAATAGACATTAACAACACCAGACCAATTAGCCTTCCACCATGTTTAGGAAAACTATATGAAAAATGTTTCCTGATCTATCTAAGAAAGTGGAATACAGATAACAATATTTTACTTAGCGAAGAGTCAGGATATCGCTCAGCACATTCAACTACCACCAGATTTACACAATTTATTCAGGATGTTAGCATATCATTGCAACAACACACCGCAGCACGGGTCTTATACATTGATTTTTCAAAAGCATTTGACCAATTGTGGTGACGTGGTTAGATTTATAAATTGCACAAAGTAAGATGTCCAAAAGAATTGGGACAATTCATTATTGAATATTTAGACAACAGAACATGCCAAATAGAAATAAACGACCTGTTGTCCGATGTATCTGATGTAGACAGAGGGATACTACAAGGAAGTGTTTTAGGCCCGGTTTTGTTTCTACTATTCCATGCTGATATGCCCACAGAAATTCCATCATCACAACATACCCATATGTATGCAGATGAAGTAGCATTAGTTATTGATACATCCCCATGATGGGAAAGTATAGAGGTGATAACAAATATTTGAAAAATTACACAACAAACATTAAATGAATTGTAAAAATATTCATGCAGATGGAAACAACCAATAAACTACATAAAAGCAGAATATCAATGGATTCATAAACGTATTACAATTTCATCAATTGTTTTATTAACCCGAGTACTGCCAGCCTCTTTTAAGCACTATACTGACAACATATGTTTTTATAGAATGATTTTTTTACTCTTGCATCAATGTCCTGTAAGAAAATGTGTTGTTTTCATATCCCATCTAATAAAAAATAATCGTTTTTCATAATCGTTTTTATAATATTCAAGACAATTTTATTCAAAGTGTATGAGAAAAAGAAGTTTTCAATCTATAAATGAAAAGTAAACGTAGACACACTATATAAACCAGCATCGAGTAAAACCATAAATTAGAATATAAAGTTGAATATGTAAAAAACTTCATCGCCTCCGATGTGATATTATCATCTCATTACTCAATATATATCTATATAAAAAGAAAGAGAGACAAATCACATCTTTCATCTACAATTGAATGAATCATCTACCATCTCAATTGGATAGCTCGAAATCACTCCAAAACAAATGTTTTTTAAGGGATTGGAAATATCCAGTTAGAATAGTAAATCAGTCATACTAAAGACATGGTATTGTACCAAAGACTCGTAATAATATTAAAAAAAACAAATGAATCGTTTTTTAGATTCAACAGCATATATTAATTCGCAAAAGATGCTATTTCATTCTAAAAACCGGAAAAGAACAAAATATTTCTAGTATATTTTCAAATTTTTGAGTACGGATCATAAATGATCGAGGTTGGTAGTACTAGGGTTAATAGATCAGCATGAAGTTGCAACAACAAAATCATTCAAATATCTTGGTAATTATATTGATCAAAAATTGTCATTCAATAAACGTTCAAAGTATATTGACGAAAATAAAAACCAACATACCAATGATAACATATATAGCACAATCAAAAACGTCATCGTATCATACCACAATGTTAATCGTCAATGCTTATGTACTACCGTATTTCCAGCAGCTCTCTTCCATTTATCCACTGTTACCTGATTCCACAAAAGACAAAATAGAAGCTATAAATAGACAAGTATACAGGGTAATATCGTACGATGCCACGAATGATGAAATCAAATTCGCGCATAAGTTCAGAACAATTACTGGCAGTGTAGAAAATTTTTACACAACTTCATAAACAAAGCACACACAGGTATTCCAGAACTGTTTGAGAAATATACACAATTCAGATCAATGCAAATGTATTTACAAATGCACAATCAGTCTCCATTTATTAAGCATCTGAACGTAGGAAGATAAAGTGCAACTATGAAAAGATGGTTAGATCAAGAGGACAGATACCTTAATAAACTAATGTCATTTATTCAATATTAAACTTTTCCTCGCTTCTTATGCTCTACAAATTTCTTTTCTTTTTCGTAAAACAGGTAGTAGGGATTACCAGCCTAACACTACACTACTGTTAACAAATTGTCGACATTTTCTAATCTGTCTAATAAAGCAATAGAACAACAACAACATATGAAAAACAGGTTGAACTTTAGAAAAACTTCTCTTTTATTCCTTTGTTTCAAAGAGGGACAAAGGAATACGAAAGCTGTGTGGTTAATTTTACTCAAAGAGAAATATATGTCATGAAATAAAGAAAACAAGTGCTTCCAGCGACTGATGGAAAAATGACGCTTTTCCCGGATGACGTGAAAAATTCAATTACTCGTCTTGTATTATGGTTAAAGACCTGAAATTTTCTGTGAAGTTTTGGTTGAGTAACCGGTTTACAGTGGAATGATGAGCAGCGTGAACACATACATGCGCCAGGATCAGAACTAAGCGCTAATTGAACAAGACAAAGTATGAATAGTACTATTAATTTAAAATACATCTTTTAATTTTCGCTCCAGATGAGAATGAACGACAAGGGGGAAAAGGAGGCTCTGGGAGTTTTCCGGATCCATTGAAATGCTTTCCGATGCTTAAGATGCTCGGCCATTCGATGCTGAGGGATGCTCTCCTATGCTAAGAAAGAAAAAAGTCGCATTTTCCCCTTTGATGAACGAGCATATAATGTTTATTATATGGTACACTATATAGTTAATATAGCTGCTGTAAGACAAGAAGTGTTGTACTTTGTACTTGCTCTTTTACTAACGAAAGAAACATACATATATAATTAATTCCGTCGAATAAAATCTGTATTCAAAAATTGATAATATTTACCTACCAAGTTAATTAACAAATGAATGAATGTATATTTGTTTGCTGTTGGCCGCTCTAGAAAAAGAGGTAGCTGTAGAATAGTACACTCAACTGGTCATGCAGACATTGAGTAAAACGTTATGTTACGTAATTTTTGTGATGATGATACTCTATCTATCGGCGTAGAAATTCATTTCTCGTAAGTGGCTTAACCTAAAGGGCTGAAACTGTCGTGCTGTAGGCTAGAGACCATGACGAATAAAATGGCTCATTTAGAAATCGGTTAAAATCTTTTGGTGAGCGTTCGGTTTAATTAAAGAGTGCAAAAATCGCAAAAATGACTCAAAACAACTTATTTTTTAGCATTAGTTCGAGTAGTAATCTCGAAACCAATACGTGCACATCAATCCTTGTCTTCTGTAACAAATTCAGTTTTCGTTGCGTAAAATCTTTTAGGTTGTCGGTTGAGAACCATCTTTACAGAGACTTTTCAGTTTCAAACAGTCGAATTTCTCTAAAATACTGAAGAGACAAGCGGGAATTGCTTTTAATATATATTTATGGCATTGTACTACAATATGTATCATTCTAATTGGCTTAGTTCTTCGAATTTATTCTATCAAAATTTTCTTCACAAACATCGGGACGCAAACTGCTCATAAGAACGATCTGATATACCTAAGCGAAAAGAAAAGTTGTAAGAGTCCTGTAAATTTAGGTTATTTTCTCCAGTCTCACAATTGTAAATTAATTTGTGATGTTGGATTAAACTGTGTTAATTTAATATGTAATTCACCGAAATAAATCCTTATTCCACAAATGTTTGAACTTCAAGATCAATTGCGTGAAAACCAGCCGGTAAAAAAACATTAGCAACTTTTGAACATGATGTCACGATCTCCTCAATTGGACTTGATAATTCCAATGGGTTTGTAAACCATAGATTATCATATTTTAATCGAATACTTGACTGATAATTCTTGATCAATGATGAACCTTGAAATTATAATTCATACAATAAGGATGTTGAATGATTGAATGTAAATTGAAATCAGGTATTTTAGAATATTCTGGAATTGTATTGAAGTCAATTCGACTAACAGTATAGGGTGATTCTTTCGAGAGTGTACCACATTTACATCGACTTTATCCGGATTGTTCGAGAGTAACAGGACTAGTACAACTTGAGCTCCTGATGACGAATATCACGTTTAAAAGATTCTAAAACAACG